ACGCAATAAGTCGAAGATATATTATAAAGGTTTTTTTATGGCATACGTATATCATTTATATAAAATCACCTACCGGTACTAGTGAAAACGTTAAGCATAATGCCATTGAATTCAACATAAAGATCATAATTTAATTATCGACTTTTATGATTAGCATTAACCTAAAAAATTGCATTCAGTGTAATTTTCTTTATGTAATTAATTAGAAATCTACAACATTCAACCCCTTATAACACAGTCAAGACCTTGTCACGGCGCGGTAGAATACACAATAGGAACTACATACACTTTCAATACTTTAGGAACACCAAAATATATATTGTTTTGGCTCAAATGAAATAAAAAACAAATACCCCATTAAATTTTTTTAAAAATATAACAAATGTTCGTTTAGAATTAATTTGTCCTTTCCCCCCCTCAAAATATTTATTTGCATAATTTAACTTTCCACGTCATAACGGCTCTTACGTCTATTAACCATACCAGTTCGGAAAGGCGCTAGATTTATAATAAATATGGATGAAATTAACATTTATCAAGACAGAAAATTATAAAATTTTAATATAAGCATTGGATTCTTATCTTGAATGTCGTAGGTCGTATAACAGCACCTGTTCGTGACGACAAATCATATCATACCGCGCGTTAAAAGAGAATTTACCTGAAATATTGACCCTTGAGACAGGGAAATTTGCTGGCAAATCTAAAGCAGAATTCTCTGGGGTCCTTTCAACTGGGGATGTAGCATCGGTCATACCTGAAATTTCAAAAGCAGTTAGAATGTTTTAAGTGCCTTGATTGCATTAACATGCATAGAACTTTATTTGATACGTAATATGTGTATGTAAAATGCTCTAACCGTGAGTGAAAAAACTTCAAAGATTTAGGATGAATAGATATAAGTGAACCGTTTTTAGTGCATTGAAATAAAATCAAAAACTAATATTAACATTCGCTAAAGTACCATGTATTGCAAGATTATAAAAAAAATCTTTTGCAAGCTTTAGGCCAGATTTTTTTACGATTAACATTCAATTAATCCCAAATTATCATATTTTAATCAAATTTCATTTAAAAGACAAAATACATGTAAAAAAATTATTTCAGACATGATGAACAAAATATTACTGGATGTGAGATTTTATTAGAGACACTACATGTACCTGCCAGTTTGACTCTGGAGACATTAAAATTTCTCTGAAGAGCTGAATTATCATGCTCAGGAGTCTTTTCTACTTCGGATACGCCTTTAGTCAAACTTGAAACTGAAAGGTAACTAATTTATTTTAAAAGCTGTAAATTGCATAAACAAACAGAGTAAGTCATTAATGTACTTAATCATATAGAAATTAAAGTGTATGGACCAGTTGAAAAGAGGTATATCCAAAATACGCAAATATATACTTACAAAAAAAGACATTTAATAAAAGTGCCATAAAATGAAATTAAGCTATCTAAAAACAAAGGAGATTTACATTCTGAACTTGAGTGAAAAAGAGACAGTGGGACCTATTTTATCCAAACACTTATAATCCGGACGCTTCGCTTTCCGGAAGTAATTTGTGGGGAACAATTCATGTTTTTGCAGGATTTCAGTAAACTGGAAGCTTCATTAATCCTGACAATTTGATCAAGAACACATGTGTCCAGATTAAGAATGCTAAACTGTATATAACAACACAGACAAAATTCTTTAAAAAATATTCATAAAACAACAAAGCTTAACCACAAAACTTTACCTACCACATCCAAGAGCATTGTTGCATCTGTCCTTGGTGCATTGGCACCTCTGTTGACAATGTTCACCATAATAAGGATATGGACAGGTCATGCCACAGTCAATGCCTGTGTAACCTACACTGCATACTAAAGTTTTAAAAAAAGCGTCAACTATGTTTTCATCGGAAATAATGCGTACTTATTTTAATTCACTTAACAAGACAATTTAAGTGGGGTTAAATACGTTAAAATAAATGCATATTTTAATTAAAATTATTGTTCTTTATCCAATAGCTTCAAGTACTCGAGATGATCAGAATCCGTATGACCTTTAGTCATAGCATGCGGGAAACAATTGACACAATGCTCACAAGAGCACATTGAAAAAAAAATGCAATGAGTTTTTCTTATGTATGTTTCAGCTTGTAAAATCAGATCGATAGTAATAAAATGACATTTAAGGTTTCGGTTATTTCTTTCCAACTTTGAAACTTTTTTTATAAACAGGGCAAGTTTGTTGATAATTCCTGCTCAATATGGAACCTGCTTGGGCTCAATGGAAACAGATAAATAATAGAAATGTTAATTTAACGTAAACATTTACTTACTAATACAAGATTGTAATGTTTCATTCCACTTATATCCAAAACAACAACGAAAAGATCTGCAAGAAAGCATTTAAGCAAAATTTGATAAAAGAATTGTAAAAGTAGAACATTTACACCTATATATTTACTATAATTTTTTTTTATGTTTTTTTAAGACATATTCAAGATCTATTTTGAATTTACATATACGGCACGTTCTTTTGAAAATAGCTCTATTCTATTTTTATTTTTTTAATGATCTTAATTTCTTAAAGCCTGATATACACAACATATACCCTCTGCATTGCCTTGAGTCGACGTTCCAGATAATCGTTAGAAAAAATTCCAAACACAATAATTTTGTCTTTAACGCCATGAAGTGAATGTACATATACAATCAAATATAACTGAAATGTTATTCACCACTAATTTTCTTTTCACTTTGTCCTTAGTAGTTATTGATGAAGTATTCTTGTGACTTTATATTGTGCTCACATGTTTTAGCTTATTAACAAATAACCACAGAAATGCAAATTTCGCCGAATACAATGTTGCATAATATTTATTTATATTCCAAATGTATTTATAGCCCTAAAATTCCTCAGTAAGATTTTTTTTATGAAGAATAGCTGAAATCTTGAAGTAAAATTTTAAAATGAAAAAAAAAAATCAAAACTGCATTTTGAATTTTTTTGGCAAAGATTTAACAATAAAATGTATAGAGATACAGTGTAACGAACAGTATTCAAGCTCATTAGTCCATTTATACAATACAAATCAGGAGCAGAGCAAGCACGGACCTCTAGAACATCAGAGGTGGGATCAGGTGCCATGGAGGAGTAAGCATTCCCTTGCCGACCGGTCTCACCCGCCGTGTGCTCCTTGTCATGATCGGGAAATAACAATTCAGTGTGTAAATAATGGCCTAACAATTAGTATGAAAATGTCAGTCAGCATTTGACTTAAGGATAGATTGTATTTGCTGACAAGATCATTGCATCGACCATAGAACTTACGAAATGATGACTTTAAACGAAACTGTTAATATTCTAGTTTCGTCAACTTGTTTGTCAATAACTTACCTCGTTTTAGAAATTGTTCATACGTAGAGCATGCTCTTGCGTATTAAATCAACTGATAGATATAAATCCCGTATGCAGGTGATAACGGTATATTGCTGCATAAGTAATAAAGGAGGTTGACGATTGAAAGTTAAAGTCATTACGTTTATCATAAAGCTTTGTTGTTAGATTACCATTAACGTCTTTTTCTGGTAAAATATCCAAATATGAAACAGATGTGTAAGACTCTGTGATATCTTTTATTTCAAGCTCACTGGGATAAATCGTGTACACAAATGAACGGAAATAATTATTGTTAATTGATAATACGACGTCGATATATCTAAATGTCGAGTTGAAGGCCATAGCAAGTGTCTTCTTCTTCTTATGTATAAGATTTTGAATAAATTGTGCTTCATATCAATACAAAAATAGATCTGCTAATAACGGGGCGCAATTGGTACCTATGGGAATTCCAACAGATTGTTGGAGAACCTGGGCCCCGTTTTACAAAAAGACTTACGGCTAAGACCAAAATAAAATTTTGCGAATAATTTTCTTCCTTAAATTAACTAGTATTGGAAATGGTATTTATCATTTTTAAAAGGCGTTTCAAGACATATTTTTATGAAAGTATATTTTACTATAATTATTAATTTTACAAGTTCTTTAGTAAAACAGGTAACTGGTTCCGGGATCATTAAACATCTTAAGCTTAAGTCAAAATATTTATGTTCCACTAAAATATTGTAGTAGTCAAACAGACAAAAATTAAAATAATTTTCAATATTGCTCTTCAAAAGTATTGTTATCTCAAATTTAGATATAAATTCAATCAAAAATTTTGTAGGCAGTTGAAAATTTCACTAAAGTCTAAGTCTGTTTCATGATCCTGTGCCTGGTCTCCAAATACCATATAGATATCGTAAATCAAAAACTCAAGCATCTTTTTAATATCAACTTCAGAGTACTTTTGATACATGTTGAAAACATGTTTTTGCGTGGATGGAGAATATATTTATTAGGGCCCCGCAATGTGGGAGGCTTATATGAATCACATTGTCCGTCTGTCCGTCCATCTCTCCATCGCCACTTTTTTGTGACGCAATAACTCAATTTTCAATGTAACGTTTTTGTACAGAGGTACTTTACTATTTGAGAAAGACACCAATACCTTTCGGACTTGTATCACTTCGTCTGTTTGTACGTATGTGTAATTGTATATTCGTCGAGACCGAATAACTCATGGAGTTTGTAGCAGAACTATTTCAAATACTTTATAGAGAAGTGCATGTAGTTGACCTTAACAGAAAGTCACCTTTTAATACTATGGTATCTCCGACCGTCTTTCTGTTTCTCACCGCCATCACTTATGTTGCTCAAATAACCATTGTAACACAATAAGGAAAGTCGAAGATATTTTGAAGGATTTGCTTTAGTAAAACAAATAATGGGTCAGGAAATACTTCCATGAAGAGTATATTGTTTTTAAAATGATCAACTTTGAAACAATGTTTTTGTTTGTTCTTGATATAGCTAGATCTTTTCTCCACTTTATTGATAACTCTCAATCATACATTTGATACTTACTTTACTTGATGATGCAAAACACAGAAAAATAATACCATTAAATTACAACTGTTAATGGAGGCTAGACATTTGTACATATACAATTTTAATACATGTGCAATGTTAATACATGTACATTGACAAATTGAGTTGTAAATTATGATGTCACTAAGGATGCATATTTTGCTTGAGATACAGATTTAACTGGAACATTTAAACTCTGATTCTAATGACAGCATAAGTTTTACTGTTAATACTTCTCTTTTACAAGGGAATTTGCATCTAGGTTTAAATAAAAGTGATGGTGCTGTTTATGCTTTTAATATTTCTAGCTGTGCTTGTCTTCTTAAAAAAAAAAACAATAATAGAATCACCTGTGATATAATCGTTCAACAAATAAAATATAAAAAGCCTATATGTCACATTGTTAAAAAAAGATATTTATTGAAAAAAGAAAGTAGTTTTGTTGCAGACGATCTTATTAAATCTACATTTTCAAAGTTTCAGACAAACGGAAACAGGTCAGTAATGTATTCATTTAGATTTATCATTGTATTTTATGTTACCATTTATACTAGATCGACTATATAACAAAAGAATCATTGATATAATGCAAAAAAAAAAAAGATGTTTTGAATGTTAATAACAATAAAAAAAATTCCAGATGTATAGCAGAGTTCCCAGTCACTTCTTATTCAGCGTTTGTAAAGGTTATGCCTCTTTTCCCCTTTATCTAATAATAATAATAATAATAAAAAACAATAAAAATGAATATTGATATAAAACATTTAGTAATGAGAGATATTTCAAATTTCATAAGATTATTTTATAGAAAATTTAATCCGTTAAAAGAATGAACTTGGGGTCTCCTTCTGAGTTTACCTTCGATATCGGAAACGAAGAAAGGAAATGGTAACGCCGAGCACCATGGGGAGAATTGCCCGTGTCTGTAGACGAATTGTGGAATTCGAACTTAAGTGAAATAAGTTAATAATGAAACGCTGTTAAAAAGTTGATAAGACATTTCACAGTACTATAAAAGTAATCGATTTAAAAAAAAACATACAACTAAATAAATATATTTATATTAAATTACTGAAAAGATGCTTATGAGTTTGGAATGCAATATGCTGCGTAACATAAAAAAAACAAGAGGCCCATGGGCCACATCGCTCACCTGAGCACATTGGCTAGGAAAAAAAGCAAAAATCAGTACAGTATTGAAAAGTTTACAGGGAGGGGGGTGTTGAATTTTAAACTACCTGATGATGCTTTCATATCAATATAAGAAATGGCTTTGTTGTTCTTGAACAGCAGATTTTTTCCCCATATATTCATTTGTAAAAATTTGATCCCCCATTGTGGCCCCACCCTACCCCCGGGGGCCCTCATTTGAACAAATTTCATTCTACACTACC